GAAAAAAAAAGATTGGGGACGTGAGGGGAGATTGTGTGATGCAATCAGAATATTGAATCAAATGCCTTTGAAAGTGTTTTCAGAGATTCTAACAAAGAGATTTTAACAGGATGTATATGTTCTTATGGTCTTTGGTGTTTGTTTTAATATTAGAATTAAAAGGAATTAAAATGTATTAAAAATTCTAAAACTACAAAAAGTTATGGAGAAGAAAAGAGAAATTCTCTGTTACTACTATAATGCATTGCCTCTATGATTGTCTCTGGGTGTAAACAAGAACCAGGGTGCCTGGGTTGAAGTAGAACTTCCTTCACTTGCAAATTTACTGATCTTGAGTAACTTTCTGTGACCTCTCCAGATCTGCATTTTCTTATCTTTTAACTGCAGTTGATAGTAGTACCTTCCTCAAAGGAGTGGTATGAAGGTCAAATAATTATGCATTTGCCATTTCTTACAACAGTGCCAAACATATTTTAAGAGCAATGAGAGTGTTTGGTATGGGTAATAACAATAATAAAAAGTAAATATGGTAGATTGCACTATTGTATCCAGCTACTTTATTCAGTCCAGGGTTCTGTAATAGCTTTAGGAATCCCCTATTCATTAAAGTTGTATTTCACAATTTCCTATGGGGGCCCAATGCTGCCTTCAGGCTCCACTGAGCTTGCTTTGTGCATTAAATGTGGGTAGACATAAAGTACACCACACCTGAACTGGATTTTAAAAGTTACTGCATATTTATTGAAACTCTTTTGTACCTTTCCTTCTGCCAAGGCAGTGGGATGTTGAAAATGTGATGACTTCTTTGGGTCATATCTACTGCAAACAATTAATATGAGTATGGGATTAATATCAGTTGTTATAAGACACTTGGATTTTGGAGTCTTTCATTACTGCAGCATAGTTACTAATACCATTACTAACACAGCAGATAAATAAATGAATAAACCCAAGTAATAGTTATAAAATTTTTAAATAAATCACCCTTGATTATTTATACATTTAATATATTTAATTATCTTTCATTTCACTTATGTCTAATTTTGTAACATTTTTATTTGGCTTATGAGTGCAATTTTTATATTATTTGAATTTGAGAATATTAGCATTTATACATAACTTAAAATTGCCACCAAGTATATAAGTGACAAGAATAATTCAATAATAATTTTTAAAATTATTGTAGTAATAATATTGTTCTTTAGTAATTAAACTGCAAAATATTCACATGATGTATTTAAACACAGTCATGGCAATCACATAATTGTGTTTTTGAGAAAGTAGTAATTATCAGGTCAAAATCAAATAAATGTATTAAAATACTAAATACAGCAGAACAAGGAATGACACAGAGGTTGAAATTATCAATGTCCCTTCAAGAAGTATTCAGCGATTATCCAATACATTTGAGTATAATATTTCATTTGGTAACACCATCCAGACAGACTGTTTTATGTAATACCTAGTGTAGCCACATACATATAGTATCAATGAACATGAGGGTAGAAATATTTAATTTGATAAGTTAAAAGAACTGATAAGTCAACATGGAATATTCAGAAATTCATTGGATTTTTAAATTCTTATTTTACCTATGTGAAGGTAGAAGATATCATCATTGTTCAGCATGTCTGTATTCTAAATGTTGTAAGAGTGACTATAAACATGGCATTACAGACTGTCACTTCAATTGAAATAATATATTTTGAAGTACATGTCATGAAATACTTTATCCATGTCATGCCAATAAAAATAATACAAGCAAAAAAAAAAAAAACTCTAGAATTTTCATGGTCAATACAGTTTGGAAACACCTGACAAAATAATTTTGGATAAAATTCTTTACTCTGAAACCTTAAGGATCCTTTGGTATATCAATGGATTCCATCAGTTGGTAAGAAGAGATATGCTACAATGAAGATCATTTTGTTAAGCGGCCGTAGGATTCCTTTTTGAATACATTTTGCAACCTTGAACTTTTCAATTAATACATACAAAATTTGTCTCTTACCCATTTCATTTGGCAAATAATCTTTGCCATGACTTTGTCCTCATGAAGTTACCTTCTTATCCCTGAAATCTTGTTTCCTACTCTATAAAATGGGGATAATAGGACCTACTTCTAAAAGTAGTTATAAAGATTAAATAAGGCTGAGCAGACACAATTCTTAGCATAGCACCTGGTACATAGTAGAAAATATCCCATATGCTCTGCCTGAACTAACTCATTTAATTTTCTGAAGTTCATTGAATGAGAAAGTTGGCAAGGAACCCCATAATTTAACCATTACAGACTGCCTTTGTTTATTTTTCATCTATGCCTCTTATTAAACAACACCTGGTTAGATACTTAACCTCTTTGTGTGTTCCTTTTCAAATTTAACAAAGGAAAACATAATACTATCTAGCTCTTAGCTGAAATATCATTTTATTTAGAAGAGTGCCTACAGTAGAATGAGGACTCAATGAACGTTATCTATGCTTCCTATTAACTACTTAACAATGCAAAAAATTACACTTTCCCAAAACAATTATTACATTTTCTCATAACACTGTTGATTTAGCATTTTCTGACCAGAATAATTTAATCATATATGTGTATATATATATATGCATATATCACATATCATAAATAATGGTATCCAAACTATGAGCACACATAGCTTCTTATTGAATTCCTACTATATATATGATGGGCATTGGAGATATATATATATATATGTGTACGTATATATATATATAAACTTATTTGATCTACAAATACGTTAGGAGTCAGCATTATCATCACCATTGCCAAATATGTCAGCTGAGTCTCAGAAAGGCTGGACATCTTGACCAAAAGGAATCTAATAACAGTGGTGTCACACAAGTTTGGAACTATTTTGTCCAAATACTCATAGCTTTTCCTCCACACTTATAAAAATGAGATTTATACATAATGGTGACTTGACAGATACGTCTTTTCAAATCATCAAGTGTAATACTTTACTGTAGAACCACTTTCAAACAAAAAATAATGCGAGGTACCATAATCAAAAAGTGCATAAGTTCATTACAATCTGTCACCTGTTTTTCTTGGAAAAATCACTTTATTAAAGTAAGCCACATTCTAAATATGTCTATTCCACCATTGAATTTAGGTAAAGAAATATCAAGTTGTGATGATCCAAACACAGACTAGAAACAAAAATAAGCTGATAGATAATGAACATGAATCCAGTTTTCTATTTTTAATAGATTTCACTTGTTTCTCTAAGAAATATTCCAATGAATAACTTTCATGACAGTGACTATTTTTTCCTCATGCAGAAAATGTAGTTGTCATGCATATTTTTCTTTAAAATTTGCTTTTTTAAGAAGAATATATTTCTAGCTACTTTTCTGAGATGAGAAGAAAGGGAAAAATGAAGTAGGAAAGGACAAGGGGATAAAATGTAGGTGGAGGGAAGGACAAAAAAAAGCAAAAGAAAACAAAAAGAAATAAATATAATTATGTGATATAAAATTAATAAAAACTTGAAAACTTTAAAGTTCCTGGATAGGATTGTTTTTCTCCTTCTTTGACTTTTAAAATTTTGTTTAATTTCTATATACATTTTTGCTTCTGGAAAGTCACAGCTAATTTGCTTATACTGTAATGCAGTGTCAATGAACTCTTGCTTCTTGAGTCACTTTTAATTCTTAAATATTTTTATATAAAACTCATCTTTGGGGAATGAAATGAAGAGACAGATAAGTTCTGTTTTTTTTATAACTGTTGGCGAAACCACTGCAAGCACTACTAATCTTTTTCCGAATATTTCCAAGTCAAAGGGTTACTGACCGCCATTTTCCTTTTGTCATGTTTTATTAAACTTTCAAATATACACAAAAGTGGACAGAAAACTATAAAGAATATCTAATACTCAGAACTTGGGATTAATAATTATCAGTATATTGTTACAGTTGTTTCATCTCTGCCTCTCAAACTCATCCCCTGGGGACTGTTTTTATGCAGATTATTAAGATAACATTTAAGTACCACAAAATGAAGTCTCTGTATGTATGTAATTCATTAAAATTGAGTGTATTTATAAAGATGAGCAATCTTAGCAGCTCAGATACATAATATATATATATTTCCCCATGAGTTTCCCATGCCCTTTGTAATCTCCTTCCATTCTCTACTCCAGGTTCAGACAAATACCGATGTGCTTTCTGGGCATTTCTCATGAATCATGAAATATGCAGGGTTTTTTATATTTGGCTTTTTCATATGCATATTTTAAGTTTATCCCTACTATATCATGTATCACTAATAGTATCTATGACCAGATAGTATTCCATGATATGTATGAACCACTTTTATTTATCCACTCATCAGGTGGCAGATGTTTGAGTTGTTTCTACTTCTTGCCTCACATAAATATTGCTGCTGTGAATACTACTGCACAAGTCCTTATTTGGACATCTGCTTTTAATTGTTTTAGTTACATTCTGAGAGTTGGACTGCAGGACAATATGGTAAATCCATGTGTAACTTTTGAGAACACCACCAAATTAGTTTTCACAGTGACTGTATCATGTGATCTCCAGCAGGAATGCAGGAAGTTTTATGTTTTTCCATTCTTACGTAACTGCTGTACTTGGTGTGTACTTTTTAAAAGACTTTTGCATCTACATCATTGGAGATACTGGTTTGTAATTTAGTTGTGATGGATTTTTTGGATTTGATATCTGGGTAGTAGTGATATCAGAATTAGTATGAAAGTGTTATTTTCCCAATGTTTTTGTGGAGTATTAATATTATTTATTTAAATGCTCAGAAGATCTCACCAATGAAAACATGAGGCCTGGGTTTTTCTTTCTTTTTTTTTTTTTTTTGGTACCAGAGATCGAACTCTGGTCCTTGCGCTTGCAAGGCAAGCGACGGAACCACTGAGCTAAATCCCCACCCCATGGCCTGAGTTTTTCTGTGTTAAGATATTTAATTACCAAATCTGTTTCTTTCCTTGTTTCAGGTCTGCTCAGAAGTTGAATAGAAGATATTTTTTAAAGGGTAGGCGAGGAGGAGTAGAGGAGCTTACAAAATAGAAGAAAAAAATGTGCACTTGTATACAGGAAGGAAGCTACATGTCCTGGATTTAGTACTCTAAGTAGATGGTTAGCCCCCAAAGGGGAGGTAAGTAAAGAGCTATGACTATATAGCATAGTCAGAATCAAGGAAAACCATTCTTTTTTGTATCTGAACTGGATTAAATGCATTAACAAGTATATTTTATCTTCAAAAAGTAAAACATGTTACTTGATAGTGAAAAATGTATAAGCAGGCAATGGTATTTGGAAGATTCAGATAAGAATTAAGTTTACAAATTAAATATTCATGTTTTATTATTTTTAATAATAAACACATTTAAGTATGAAAATACCAAAGGTAGGAAGGAAGAACAAGAAGGTAGCATACAAAGTCCAAGTCTTCATACTTCCACAGGAATCTCAAAGTAATAAAGTAAGAAACCAGAACACTTTAGGGACAGTCTAGTATACAGGGAAGAGATTTCAGTACCCCCATGAGGCACAAAGTCAAGAGAAGTTGCAAGGAAGAACTTATGAACAATTTGTTTTACTTCAATCAGCCCCTCCCCAAGCCAGCAGAGCTGTGAGATGAAAGAGGTTGTCTTATTCTGTGATCGCAGGATTTAAAGTGAAACTAAGGTGGCAAAAATGTGTACACTGAATACTACAAAATATGTGAAAGAAATTAAAGAAAATACACATAACTGGAAAGCTATGCCATGATCATGGATTGGTAAAGTTAATATTGATAAAATGACCACAGTTTTCCACAAATTCAATGTGATCGCCATTAAAATCCCAATATTTTTAGAAAAATCAATTTGGAATTTCACATAGAATCACAAAAGACCCTGAAAAGCAAAAAATTTTGAGAAAGTAGCACAAACCTAAATAAATAAAACATTATGGTACTAGTATAAAGACAAAACTACAGACCAATGGAACAGAATAAAGATACCAGAAATAACCTATACACATGTTGGTTTATCAAAGGGTGCCAAGAACATACAATAAAATTGGTCAAGGATAGAATCCTCAATACATGCCTTTGGAAAAAATGGATATTCATATGCAAAAAATGAAGTTGGACCTGATCTTACATCATCCATCAATAAAATCAATTCAAAAAAATTTAAAGAACTAAAGCTATAAAACTCCTAGAAGAAAACATGGGGTGAAATGTTTTGACATTGACTAGTTTTAAAACATTTGTTGAATAAAACAGCAAAGGCACAAACAACAAAAGTGAAATTAGACAAACTGAAAAGCTTCTGCAAAACAAAAGAAATGATTAGAGTGAAAAGAATGGGGATAAATGCGCACTCTATAAATCTATGAAGGATTAATTCCAAAAACAGGTAAGAAATTCACAGAACCCAGTAGCTAAAAGTGTAGTGATCCTATTAAAATGGATTAGGGTTTGAATAATCATGTCTCCCAAGAAAACATCCAAATGATGAACAGTTATGTGAAAATATACATAATATTATTATCACCAGGGAAACATAAATCAAAACCATGTGAGATATCATCAAATGTCTGTTAGGACAGCTACTGTTAAAACAAAACAAGAGAAAAATAAAAGGTAATGTTGGAAAGAGTTAGAAAATTGGAACACTTTTACACTATTAGATTGTAAAACAGACAACTTGAATGAAGAATACTATGAAGGTTCTTCAGAATATTGAAAATAAAACTAATCTGTGATCCAGCAATGGAACTTTTCAGTATATGCCCAAAGTAATTGAAATTAAAATCCTGGAGAGATAATTGCACTCTCATCCTTGTTCAATACAGCATTATTCACGATAGTCAAGAGATTGGAAAAAACCCTACACATCCATCAATACAAGAAATTACTGTTTATACTATATAATGGAAAGTTATTTAGTCTTAAAAATAAAGGTTTCTTAAGAGTATGGCTTCAATATGGATCCATTTAGCTATAAATGACTCTAGTTTTTCATTCTTTATGGCTGAATAGTACTCCATTTTATAAAAAAACCCACACATTTTCTTTATCCAGTTTCCAGTTGATGGGCACTTGGGCTGCTTCCAATCTTTAGCTATTACAAACTGTGCCACTATGAACATGGGTGCACATGTATCACTGTGGTATGATTCATTTAATTCTTTTGGGAAGATACCCAGCAGGGGAATAGCTGGGTCAAATGGGACCTCCAGCCCTAGTTCTTTGAGGTACCTCCATACTGACTTCCACAGTGGTTGCACCAGTCTGCACTCCCACTAACAATGGAGAAGGGTTCCTCTCTCCCCACAGCCCTGCCAGCATTTGTTATTTGTTGATTTCTTAATAGCAGCCATTCTTTCTGGTGTGAGGTGGAATCTCAGTGTTGTTTTTATCTGCATCTCTCTAATGAAGAGTGATGTTGAACATTTTTTCATATATTTGTTTGCTGCTTTTACTTCCTTGTCTGAGAAATGCCTGTTCATTTCAGATGCCCGTTTTTGAATTGGGTCTTTGAATTTGGGCTGTCTGATATTTTTCAATTCTTTATATATTCTAGATAGTAGTCCTTTGTCTGAGGTACAGCTGATAAAATTTTTTTTCCCATATTGTAGGTCGTCTGTTAGCTCTGTTGGTGGTTTCTTTTGCAGTGCAGAAGCTTTTTAATAAGATGAGATCCCAGTTGTTGATTCTTTCTGCTAGTTCCTCTGCTGCTGAGGTTTTGTTCACGAAGTCTTTTCCTATGCCAATGTCTTCAAGAGTTCTACCTAACTTATCTTCCAGCAAGTTTAGTGTTGCTGTCTTAATATTTATATCTTTAATCCACTTCGATCTTAGTTTAGTGCATGGTGATAGGTATGGGTCTAGTTTCATACTCTTAAGTGAAATAAATAGGACACACGTGTAAATACTGAATAGTTTCACTAGTGTGAGAAACTGATAGTGTAAACAAGAATTAAAGTGATTAAAATGAATAATTGATAATTTGAAATAGGAAAAAAGGTCCAAAGACAAAGGAGTGAAGGGAGGGGAAGGGAATGGAAAAGAGGGAAAGGAAAAACTATGAGAAAAGAAAAAAATGGAAATGAAATCTATGTAAATAGGGAAGGGTGGAGGGGGTGAAGGGCGCACAGGTAATGAGGAAAAAAATAAGAATGAAGATACATCATGTACAAGTACAATCACCCCATGATAAATGTAAACGAATTGTATACCTAAAGTGTACCAATATAATGTACCAATAAAATTAATTTTTAAAAATAAAAAATAAAGGGATCTTGTCATGTATGACAACATGAATGATATTGTATGCCATTACAAGTGAAATAGCCACTTGCAGAAGAACAAATACTGGCTGATTCCTTCTGATGTGACATCAAAATTATTCATTCTCATCAAGAAGAGTAGTTTCAGAGGCTGAGTAGTAAGGGAAAAGGAGCATTTGCTGTCTAATGGGTAAAAATATCACAGCAATTTAAATAAATTGTAGAGATCTTGTACATGACACATCTTAATTCCTTTTTTCATCACTTTTCCCTTCCTTTTTCCCACCTCTACCTATCTCTTGATTTTTTCCTTCATTTTGTTCATGTTTCCAATACATAATGTTTACATTCTTTGTGTGTAGTTGATAATGTACATAACACAACCCAATTCTTTTTTTCATCCCTTATCCCTTTCCTCCCTCCTCCTCCTTCTATGTCTTGGTCTCCTTCTCCTTTGAGAATGATCTATCTCCTTACTTTTTATTATCTTTTATTTTGCTCTTTAAAAGAAATATGAGCTCAAACCCTCTAAACAAAAATACAAAATATATATGCTAACCTAAAATCTTAAGTCATATTTTAGAGCCACCGGTAGGCAGTTTGGCCCCCGAAAAATGTCAATGACCTAATCCCTGGGACCTACAGATGTCTTATTTGGCAAAAGAGACTTTATAGATATGATTAAAGATGTTGAAGTGGGAAGATTATTAAAGATTATCCAAATAGGTACTATGCAACCAAATGAAAAGGTGAAAATAGGAAAACCTTTTCTAACTTTGTTCACAGGTAGTTTGACTAAGTAATAGTCAGAGATGCAAATCTTCTGTTTTTGATGATGGAAAAGAAGTTCAGGAGCCAGAGAATGTGGAGTCCTCTAGAAACTATAAGGCAAAGAAACTCATTTTCTCCTAAATCCTCCAGATAGGAATACATCCTTGCAGAAACTTTGACTTTAATCACAGAGACCCATACTAAATTTCTGACTTCCCAAACCTTAAGACAATAATTTTTGTCACTTCAACTAATTGTGTGATAATCTATTGCACTGTAAATAGGAAACTCAAACAGTAACTATTTTAAAAACCAGTCAAGATGCTTCTAGGCTTATTACTAAAAGTAGTATGAAATGTAAGTAGAGTTTGTGTTTACTCAAAATATTAAACACTTCCCACAAAAATTTCATGACTTAATCATATACAATAATAATCTGCCAGGTTCTGCTAAGAACATCCAGCAATAGTAGTATGAGCACATATGTTTTTACATATATATTCTGCCTCCTCTATTTGGACAACATTTAAATCACTACTTTCAAAGACTTTCTTTTCCATTGCTTTGTTTTTCATCAAAGACCCATTTGTTTCTGCATCTCAAGTTTGGGTTTCAGAGTGAATTGTGTGTCTGTGACCTGACTCCAGAAATGTCTTGTAAGGGGCTGCTCATTCTAAAGAATCTAAATTTCTGTTTTAAGATAATTTTACTAAATTGTAAAATATTGCCAGATATTTCCATTTTTTCCATAATTTGTTCTTCCAATTTCACAGAACTCCTCCCATTCTCTTCTCAAAATGCAGGGCTGAGGATAGAGCTCAGAGGTAGAAAACACACTCACCATTTCTTGAGGACCTGGGTGCAATTCCAAGCATAACATAGAAAACAAACTTGAGCTAATATTTCTCTGGTTTTTCTGTTGTTCAATCTTGATCCTACTATAGCTCCTTCATAGTTATTTATCTTTGTCACCTGCCTAGAAATACCTCGCGATGTAAATTTTAAAGTTTTATAATAGATTGATATGTTGGGTGATGGGAGATGGGATGTAATGTTACAGTAGCATAACTAATGTATCGCTTATAATTCACATAGTAAATGAGAATCTCAAAAATAATTGAATACATTTTGAACCATTAACAAATAACAAATGCATTGTGATATTTTCGCACCAGTCCACTACCATTGCACCATTTGCCCATTTGCCTGTGCAGATGTTGTTATCAGATCAAAATAATATTTTAGTCTCCTCAAGATGCCATAACAAATTACTACATATTCACTTGCTGAAAACAAAACTATAATCTATTGTAGTTCTAGAGGCTAAAGTTTTCAATTAAACTGTCAGCAGAAGTTCACTCCCCCTCATAACTGTAAACTTTGCCTTCTGGTATTTGCCAACAACTCATGATGTTCCTTAGATTACCGCTTCATTGGTCCCATCTCTGATATCACACTGCCTTCCTCCCTGTGTGTCTTTAAGTCAGCTTCTTTTTATAGGGACACCAGTCATTGAATTTATGGCCCACCATCAATCTACTGTTACTTCATTTTAATCGCAACTTGAATGACCCTATATCCAAAAAGGATCACACTTGTGTTACCAGGGATTAGGATTTCAACACATGTTTTGGAGGGATATTGTTTAATCTACAATATCCTGGTGAAGAGCTTCACAATAGTCAATAAACATTTTCAGGAATACAATCTTGGGTCAATGAAGAATGGAATGAATACTATGATTAATTGAGAAAGAAAATATTGAGGAATATTTAAAACATAGATTCAGAAACAAGACTGTGTTGGCATGAAGACTGGCTGGACATAATAGCTTTGTGACTTTGTTCAAGTTGCTTAGCCATTCTGTTTTTTAGGTTTCATGTATGCAAAGTGGGAATCATAATAGGATCTCCCTCATAGAGTCATGGAAGTTAAATGAGATAATACATGTGTGCCAAAGCACCCTGAGTGATGTATAAAATGATCAATAAATGTTGGCTATTACAGGCATTAATTTCCTTGAAAATATTTTTAATTTTTTGGTCAGTATTTCAACTGTTACATGTGTTTGGCATTGTGCAAAATATCAGATTAATGAAAATAACCTTGACTTCATTCTTAAGTACATATTTAATTCTATATTACATACAAGTTTAAAATGTACAAAATACATCATACTATTTTTTTAAATGACAATTTGTTGTATAATCTCAAGCATGAAGAAATTGAATGTATTTCTCTTTAGTTTATTTATACTAGTCTCTGTCAATATCTATCTTATATCTTATTTCCTTTAATCCCATCGCTCCTTCTCAATATATATTTATATAATACATGTGCATTTTACATACGTATAGCTCTATTTTTAATTATATTGATATCTATAGTACATATAATATGCATTATATTTTTAGGTTTTTACAAACCTGTGGAAACATAATAATTAGGCTTTTATGATGTTCTATTAAATGTACTTATTAAAACTTACTTAACTTTTATAGTCAATAGTATTGCATTTGATTACAAACTGATTTCTATTTCAATATTAAAGCATTTTAAGAAAAAGAAAAAAAGGTGTATTTTTTTAAAAAGGTAAAAAAAAGAAAAAAAGGTATATTTTTTAAATTAGGTAAAAAATCTGATATAAAACTTAGTGAAGACATGAGGGGAAAGTATTACTTCAATGTTGTACAAGTAACAGAAATAACGGCTGATTCCATTAGCTCTGCACAGCAGATAAAGTTCACATTTCACTGGTAATAAGCTAAAGTTAAACTTCTACAAGCATTTCTTTATATAGTTTCTTTAAACTATAAATCCACACATATTCTATGTGGCACTGGCTATCATTTATTAAGTAAAAGAAGGACATTGATTTTATTTCATTGCTTTTAATAAACTTACATTCATATTTCCAGATTGTTTTGCTATTTCAGTTT